AGAATAAGAGAAACTAACAATCTAACAAAAAGACAGGAAGACAGAAGGGAGGAAAACAAAAGAAAGAAGGAAAAGAAGAAGAAAGAAGAAAAGAAAAAAAAAGTTATGCCAATGGATCAAGAGGAGAGATAAAGCCTCGGCAGGGAGGGAGTCCCATAAGAGATTTGGGGGAAACTATAGAGAAAAACAGTAAACTTGTTGGTTATAATGATAAAGTCCCAGCCATTAAGCAGGAATATCAAGAAAGTCTTGATTTTAGAAGCAAGGATAAAACAAAACAAAGCAAAAAAACAAAGCAAAACAGAAATAAAACAAAAAACAAGGTAAGCAAAATAAAATTCTTTAAAAACATAAAATAAAATTTTAAAAAATTAATTAAAAATTTTGAAAAAAATTTAATTATTATAAAATTTAAAGAAAAGAAAAAAATAATTTTTTCCCTTTCTCTTCTTCCTAAGGGAAAAAGAGAAAAAACAAACAAACAGAAAGAGTCAATCAGGTGGGTTTCTTCTGGGCAGCTTATGTTGTCTGAGGCTTACTGTTTTGTGTGCTGGTTTTTGTTCTCCTGGGAGGTGCTTGTGTATCATCCAATGTGAGGAGCCGTCTAGGTTTGGCTCTGGTGTCCTTAGGTAGATGGTTGATCTGAGGCTCTCCGTGGACCGCCTCCTCTTGTCAGCTATTTTGCAACTTTGTAGTTTCCTGCCCTTGCTCCAGTCTTCTGTAGTCTTTAGGGTGCAGCGTGTCTAGTGTAGCCCAGGGTATCACCCCCTTAGAGGTGTTGCTGTTCAGGCGCTCACTCTGTGGGAGTTAGTCTCTGCTCCACCGCCAGCTCCTCAGTCCCTACCCTGTCCTCTGATTCTAGTTCCCCAGGCTCTGACCTGCTGCAGTTTCAGATTGACTTCCTTCTGCTGCCTTTTCTGTATGGGCCATTTCAGCAGCCTGGGCTCAGTGGGTTCGATTAAAGCACATTCTGGTGAGCCCTTTGCCTGCCCAGCCCCCAGCAGGGGCTTTCAGCGTTTCCTCCAGTTCCCAAACAACAGTCCCTGAGTGCTATTCTTGTAAAGTCCTCCTGTGAGCTGCTTTCCCTTCCCCCTCAGGACTGTGCCCTGCAGGGGTGTCTGGGGCCTCAGTGAGCTGGGCCCGCCCCTTTCCTGTTGGGGTGGGTGCTCCTGGCTGCAGGAGAGGCAGGCGGGCTCTGTCCCTCCCTGCTCAGCTCTGGTTGACTGGTCGCACCAGGCCCGCCCCTCAGACCGTCCACTGTGCAGACTCCAATCCCAGCCTCTGCTGGTCTGTGCGCATAGTGCATGCCAGGAGGGTGGGAGCCAGTTCTGTGATCAGACTCAAAAATGCACAAAGTTGCTCTGCCTGTATGTTGCACACAGGCAGAGAGTACACCCTGCAAGGTCCCGCCATAGGCGCAACCTGGCACCCAGCAGGAGGGGACCCAAAGGCAGCTCCACGCAGCTCCCTGCACCACTGGTCTCAGCAAAGCTGGGGCTGCTCCATGCACCACCACAGCGCCCCCTAGGGCCGGTCACAAATCCCAGAGTCTCTGCACCGGGAGCTCAGGGCGGGAGGGCTCCTCACCCTCCCCGCACCACACAGGTTCAGTGCTCTCTGGGACTCAACACAATGCCTTACAGGCAGGCAGAGGGTCCCTGTGTGCGGCCACTCAGTCCCAACCCCTGGTTCCTTACCATTCAGACACCACACACCCTGAGACAGCCTTTCCCACGGTCAGCATTAGACACCAGTTGAGTCTGCCACTAGAAGCTTTGTTTCCTAGGAAGGCGCCTTCCGCCATTAGAAGCTTTGCTTCATTAGGAAGGCACCGTCCCCTCCTCGTGGACCCACTGCTCCCCTGGGTCCCTCTGCCCTGTGCGCGGGGTACTCCTTCCCCTCTCGTCGCTCCGGGTGTGAGATCGCCGCCCCTCAATGCCGTTCTGCTCTTTCTGATGGAGTCAGATAGTTCTCATCGAGCTCTTTCATTTTTTATGTTCAAGTCTCTCTCTTCTTCCCTTTGCTTCATTTCTAGATTTCTACCTTCAATATCACTGATCCTTTCCTACCTTCAGTTCTATTTTCTGTGCTCACTAGTTTATACTTGATCTCTTTTATTGAGTTCTACATCTGCAGGATTTCTGTTTGGTACTTTTTTAAAGTTTCAATCTCTTTAATGAAGTACTCTTTTTTTTGTGGTGTGTGTGTGTTTTAAATGTGTCTTTATTGATTTCAGAGAGAGGAAGGGAAAGGGAGAGAGAGAGAGATAGAAACATCAATGATGAGAGAGTCATTGATCAGCTGCCTCCTGCACACCCCCCACTGGGGATCGAGCCCACAACCCAGGCATATGCTCAGCCTCTGAGCTGGACAAAAGTGCTCATTTTGTTCATTGTTTTCTGAGCTTGCTAAATTGCCTGTCTGTATTTTCTCATATGTCGTTATTTTCAGAACTGCAATCTTGAATTCTCTGTCACTTATGTCACATAGTTCAGTGTCTCTGTTTTCTGGAGATTTTTTGTTCTCCGTCCAATAAGCCTTACCACCTTCATGGTATTGGTTATTCATGGTATTGGATTTCTTCTCTGTCTAGGCATCAGTGTGTGAGTGGAAGTTCTCTAGCAGACTAATATGAAGAGGTCTTTCTATTCTAGTAGGTGGCACTGAATCACAAGTTCTTTTTAGCTCTGTGAAACCCCAGTGTTGACCTGCAGTCTCTGGCTGCCATCAGTGTAGCTGCAATGCATCGGGGTTGGGAGTGGCTGTGGAAAGCCGCCAGTTTCTTTGTTGCTTTGTCCTCCCAGTAATGGTGATCTTGGTCCTATACCAGGTCTCTCCTACACACCAACCCTGGAACCAGTCACAGAGTGCACCCTTCACTCAGAGAGAAATGGGATTATGTAGGGCTAGTTCTCAGGCTCACAGACAATGTGCTCCACAACCCAACACCAAGGGCAAAGGAAGGCACATTCTGGAAGGTAGGAGAAGCAACGAGGCTCCATTGCTGTGTTTCTCCACCTGAAATGCCGACAACTTGACAACCACAGCCATACTCCTATGCTGTGTCCTTGCCCAGGTTTCTGGGCTCCGCCACAGCTCATACTGCTCACTCCTGCTGGTGCCCACCAAGCCTCTTTGCTACTCCCAGCTGAAGAGAGTCGGCCGCAACCAGATTCCTCACCTCTCCGCAAAGCCCTGCTGTGCGCTCCCAGCTGCCAGGCTGCACCCTTGGCCCCTATTAGCCCCTCTCCCTTTTTGCCTTCCCCTTTTGCTCCACTTGCCCACCTTTAGATGTTTCAGTGCATGGATCTCTCAGGTGTTGGGCGTTGAGCAGGGAATCCTTTGTTGAGTTATAGCTGTTCAAATTGTTGAAACTTCAAGGGGAGAGACCAAGAGGATCTCTCACGCTGCCAGTCCTCTGACATCACCTGCCAAAGAGCTAAATGAGCATTTTATATGATTCCATTTTCTTTCCTTTTTTAGCACATCAATTATACTTCTTTTTTTACATGCTAGCAATTGGTTCCAGGGCTAAGGTAAGAAGTATACAGGATGAACATGGAACATCTTATCACACCAGAAAACAAGGATGTTATCAGAAACTAGGATCATGTCCAAAGAAGCCAATATGAATAAAACCTCACTGGCCAAATACAGGACACTTTGCACATCAGTAAGGATAATAAATGCAATTGTTTTAAAACAAAATATGCTTAAATTCAGTAGTTCATACTGACACTAACATAATCAAGCCCAGTGCTTGTCTTTGGAGCATGCTAGGGAACCCATCATTAGTTGGCCTTTCTGTATCTCAGGATAACCAAATAATTAATAATAGGAAGTTTTCTTCTCTGAAAGGATTCCTAACAAAAGAGTGATAGGATTAGATTATCATCATCTGCAACCTTATTGAGTCAGTGCAGTGGGTCAAGGTGATTGTCAGTGGTTCCTGATACTACAAAAAGAGACCTGGTGGAAGGACATGACACTTGCCTCCTGGTAGCAAGTATTTTTATCAAATCTGAATCAAGCGCTAGATTTACAGAAATACAAGGGACACATATTAAACAATACCACAGAGATGCAACCAGCAAAATACAGACTAGGAAACACTGCAGAATAAATTATCTGGTTACTTCAACTAAAACAAAACAAAAAATTGCAAGAAAAAAAGATGTATCCAGATATCAAAAGAAACTTAAGAGGGCCTAGCTGAATAGCTCAGTTGATTAGAGTGTCATCCTGAAAAGCTAAGGTTGTGGGTCGGATCTCCAGTCGGCACATACAGTAATCAAGCAGTGAATGCATAAATACGTGGAACAATGAATCAGTGTCTCTCTTCTTCTCTCCTTTTCTCCCTTCCTCTCTTTCTCTAAAATGAATGAAAAAAAAATTAAAAAAACACGTAAGAGATTTTGTCAGCTAATTTTAATGTACAGTCCTTATGTGTATCCCAATTCAAATAAATAAAATGATGCTGATAACATAAAATAGGAAAAATTTGAAAACTGGCTATTTGATTTCATGCATTAGGGAGTTCATTGTTAATTCCCTTAAGGTGCAATGGTATCATGTGCATATGCTTTAAATTATTGATGTTTGGAGATGCATACAAAAATCTGTAAATTAAATGAAACAATGTCTGGGAATTTCTTTAAAATACTTGGGGATATATAAATTATACCTTAATTAAAATAGTAACTAGGACCATGGGGGAAGTGTGTAGGGGTGTAGATGAAAGCAAGATTGGTCACGCACTGATGATTAATAAGCTAGGTGAATGGTAAATAAGGTTCATTAAACTATGCTCTTTACTTTGGTAAATGTTTGAGAATTACAACAGACAAAAAAAGCTCTAGGAGTACAATGAAACTATTATACTTATTAGATGTGCCCCAGAGTACTGGGTACATAGTGAGTATTCGACGGACACTTACAAATTCATTAAAATATTCTCAAGATTTTTTAGTTATTGAGAATAACACACAATTTACCAAAAATACTTTATTATTCCATTAAGTTTATTAATTAGAACAAAAATGATCACAAAGATGTTACAAAGAATAGGTCCAGTTTATTTGGTTAAAAAATACTTTTATATACAATCATTATTATGCAATTCAGGATTGTCATCAAAATGTAGATGGCCATTAAGAATTTATCAAATTGATTATTCCATGTTGAGTTCAATAATAGAAGTATTCATTAATTAATTTTTTCCAAATTAAGATGAGCAGCTAACTCTGAGATCTCTAGCCCAAGAAGGAGTAGATGAGGAGTAGCCTGCTTTCTCTGCTGCAGAATGCTTCTGGAAAGGGTGCTGAAGACCTTGCTGCAGAAGATACACCTGTAAACAATTTAAGTAGGTAAATATAGATTTTCTTCCTTAGGACCTTTATCAATTTTCTAAATTTCTAAAACAACAAGGCAAGTTTTACATTGGTTTGAAAATGTTTAAACATTTTATATTTTATGAAAACTTCAACTATAGTTGTTACTTAAAATTTCTATTGTTCCACAGAAAGTTACTTAAGTACTAGTTTTGTGTTAAAACAGGAGAGTGAATATGTAGTGTTACAAAGACTATATATATATCTTGATAATATTAAAACTCACAGCAGTAAAAGGATTATAATTTTTTAAAGTATTTACAAAAATAAAACTCTCAATAATTTCCAATCTTTTCAGATCAAGGGCATGGATTCCAACTTAGGCTGCTTCCTCACTTGCCATTTTGTCCCATGGTAATAAACTGAGGCATCAAAGAACACAATAATTCTAGGAACAAAATGTGTATTTTCA